TTTAGTGTCCTGACTCCTGCATGTGGCTATGTGTAGTGTCCTGACTCCTGACATGTGGTCCTTGTCCTTTCCTGACATTGGTCTTGTTAGTGTCTGACTCCTGACTGTGTCTATGTTGTAGTGTCCCTTGACTCTGACCATTGCTATGTTATTCCTGCTCCTCTATGGTCTTTGTGTGTCTGTCCTGACATGTGGTCTAGTTTGTGTCCTGATCTCCTGACATTGTTCTATTTGTAGCTCTCTCTCCTCATGTGTCTATTTGTATGTCCCTGACATGTGCTCATTTGTAGTTCCTATCTGACATCATGGTCTAGTTGTAGTGTCCTGACTCCTGACTGTGGTCTATGTTTGTCCTGACTGTGTCATGTTGTTGTCTGACTCCTGCATGTGGTCCTACGTTGTAGTGTCCCTGACATGTGGTCTCTATTTTAGTGTCCTGCCTCTGACATGTCAGTTGTAGTGTCCTGACCTGACATGTGGTCATGTTGTAGTGTCTGACTCCTGACATGTGGTCATGTTGTAGTGTCCTGACATGTGGTCTATGTGTAGTGTCCTGACTCCTGACATGTGGTCAGTTGTAGTTCCTGACATGTGTCTAGTTGTAGTCCTGACTCCTGACATGTGGTCTATATTGTAGTGTCGACTCCTGACATGGGTCTATGTGTAATGTCTGACATGTTGGTCTATTTGAGTGTCTGACATAGGGTCTATGTTGTAGTGTCCTGACTCCTGACATATGGTCTATGTTGTATGTCCTGACTCTGACATGTGGTCTATGTTGTAGGTCCTGACTCCTGACATTTCTATGTTGTAGTGTCCTGACATGTGGTCTATGTTCGTATGCCGACTCCTCATGTGTCTATGTAGTGTCCTGACATGGGTCTATGTTGTATGTTGCCCTGACTCTGTGGTTGTTGTAGTTGTGCCTGACTCCTGACATGTGGTCTAGTTGTAGTGTCCTGATCCTGACATGGGTTTGTTGTAGTGTCCTGACTCCTGACATGTGGTCTATGTTGTAGTGTCCTGACTCCTGACATGTGGTCTATGTTGTAGTGTCCTGACATGTGGTCTATGTTGTAGTGTCCTGACTCCTGACATGTGGTCTATGTTGTAGTGTCCTGACTCCTGACATGTGGTCTATGCTGTAGTGTCCTGACTCCTGACATGTGGTCTATGTTGTAGTGTCCTGACTCCTGACATATGGTCTATGTTGTAGTGTCCTGACATGTGGTCTATGTTGTAGTGTCCTGACTCCTGACATGTGGTCTATGTTGTAGTGTCCTGACTCTTGACATGTGGTCTATGTTGTAGTGTCCTGACATGTGGTCTATGTTGTAGTGTCCTGACTCCTGACATGTGGTCTATGTTGTAGTGTCCTGACTCCTGACATGTGGTCTATGTTGTAGTGTCCTGACATGTGGTCTATGTTGTAGTGTCCTGACATGTGGTCTATGTTGTAGTGTCCTGATCCTGACTGTGGTCTTGTTGTGTCCCTTGACATGTGGTCTATTTGTAGTGTCCTGACTCCTGACATGTGGTCTATGTAGTGTCCTACATGTGTCTTGTTGTAGTGTCCTGACATGTGGTCTAGTTTGTAGTGTCCTGACTCGACATGTGGTCTATTTTGTATGTTCCTATGGTCTATGTTGTAGTGTCCTGCTCCTGACATGTGGTCTATTTGTAGTGGTCCTGATTCCTGACTGTGGTCTATGTTTGTGTTGTCCTGACTGTGGTCTATTTGTAGTGTCCTGACTCCTGACATTGTCTATGTTTGTAGTGTCCTGACTATGCTATGTGTAGTCTGTCCTGAATGGGTCTATGTTGTATGTCCTACTCCTGACATGTGGTCTGTTGTATGTCCTGACTCCTGACATGTGGTCTTGTTTAGTGTCCTGACTCCTGACATTGGTCTATTTGTAGTGTCCTGACTCTGTTGGTCTATGTTGTAGTGTCCTGACCTGACATGTGGTCTATGTTGTAGTGTCCTATCCTGACATGTGGATGTTGTAGTGTCCTATCCTGACATGTTGGTTGATGTTGTAGTGTCCTGACTCCTGACATGTGGTCTATGTGTAGTGTCCTGACTCCTGACATGTGTCTATGTTGTAGTGTCCTGACTGTGTCTATGTATGTACGTGTCCTGACATGTGGCTATGTTGTATGTCCTGCCTCAGCTGGTCTATGTTTTAGTGGTCCTGACTCCTGACATGTGGTCTATGTTTAGTGTCCTGACTCCTGACATGGGTCTATTTGTAGTGTCCTACTCCTCATGTGGTCTATTTTAGTGTTGCCTGCAGGTCATGTTGTGGTCTGTTGAGTTGCTCCTGACATTGCCATTGACTGTGGTCTATTGTATGTGTTGTCCTACGTGTCTATGTTTTGTGGTCCTGACTCCTGACATGTGGTCTATGTTTGTGTCGTCCTGACCATGGTCTATTTGTAGTGTCCTGACTCCTGACATGTGGTCTATGTTGTAGTGTCCTGACTCCTGACATGTGGTCTATGTTGTAGTGTCCTGACATGGTGTCTATGTTGTAGTGTCCTCCACTCCTGCATGTGTGCTATGTTGTTTGTCCTGACTCCTGACATTGGTCTATGTTGTATCCTGACTCCTGACATGTGGTCTATGTTGTAGTGTCCTGACTCCTGACATGTGGTCTATGTTGTAGTGTCCTGACTCCTGACATGTGGTCTATGTTGTAGTGTCCTGACTCCTGACATGTGGTCTATGTTGTAGTGTCCTGACTCCTGACATGTGGTCTATTCATTCCTGGAAACCTTTGCCCAGTACATTACATCCTGAATGACATCTCTCTCTGCCAAAAGAAATAAGAGTGTTGCAGTCCTGAATAAATCATTATGAGGCCCTTTCCCCGTCCCTGTATTTACTAGGAGAGGTATTATTGATGTTTCCAAGAACGAATAAGGCAAGCTCTTGACGGTTTACCTGAGCCTGCGGTTTTACTTTCTCCCTTCCTGACAGTAACAAGCCTTAAAACTAGACAAGTCATTTGCTGCTTTGGTAAATACGCCATGGCATTTTCTACTGTCTGAGTACATGGCACTGAGATCATTCTCTCTCTGTCAGGCAGCCAGTCAGTCGCTCTCAGGAGACAGGCAGTGGCACCCTATGGGCCTGGTCAAAAGAAGTGCACTATATGGGAATAGGGCCTGGTCAAAAAGCACTATTGGCACGCTATGCTCCTGTCCATGTCTCTGGATGCCCTGGCCTGTGCCAAGAAGTGAGTTTGAGCATATAGTTTCAAACAAGACAGAGCACATATGCACGCTCTGATGCTCGGTAGAGTGGACTTGTGTTGGCTGGCAAAACATTCACTATCCCTGTCTAAATCGCTGCTGTTGACAGCCTTCCAGAAGGAAGACAAATGCTTGGTGCTGGTGGTGTGTTGGCTGTGTGCTGTGTGAGCTGCTACATATGCACTAATGAGTGTCTGTTAACGACAGACAAAGCTTGCCGAGCGCCACTCGGTGGCAGATATCGCCCTCCTGCATGGCATGCCAAGCAAGCAGAGGGCGGCAGAACATCTCTCTGGCTGGCAGATGGCATGAACATCTCTCGAGGCCAGACGGGACAGAACATGCTCTCTGGGGCCTGGCACAGGGCTAGAAACCAAAAGTACTGACATTGGGGAGGGTCAGACAACCGTAGTGTGCATGGGTGCACAGACAACAAGACAGGCCACAAGTAGTCTGACAGGTGGCACAGAACAACCGTATACGCTGCCTTGACAAGACTCAGGAGGGCACAGACACAGTACTGTACATGGTGGGCGACAGACAACTGGACTGCACTGGGGCAGAAGACTGCATGGCAGCAACAATGCAGGGGGACAGAACAACTCTCTAGGGGGTCGACACCGACAACAGGACTGACATTGGGGGGACAGGAACATAACGGGGAACCTGACGAGGGGGGAACTCATCAGACAACAGTACTGACAGGGGGGACAGACAACAGTAGTGCCAGGGGGACAGACAACAGTACTGACATGGGGGACAAACAACAGTACTGACAGGGGGGACAGACAACAGTACTGACAGGGGACAGACAACAGTACTGCCAGGGGACAGACAACAGTACTGCCAGGGGACAGACAACAGTACTGCCAGGGGACAGAAAACAGTAGTGACAGGGGGACAGACAACAGTACTGACAGGGGGGACAGACAACAGGACTGACAGGGGGGACAGACAACAGGACTGACAGGGGGGACAGACAACAGAACTGACAGGGGGCAGACAACAGTACTGACAGGGGGGACAGACAACAGTACTGACGGGGGGACAGACAACAGTACTGACAGTGGGGACAGACAACAGGACTGACAGTGGGGACAGACAACAGGACTGACAGTGGGGACAGACAACAGTACTGACAGTGGGGACAGACAACAGTACTGACAGGGGGCACAGACAACAGTACTGAGAGGGGGCACAGACAACAGTACTGAGAGGGGGGCACAGACAACAGTACTGACAGGGGGACAGACAACAGTACTGACAGGGGTACAGACAACCACACGTCTCCCTATTTGGGCAGGACAGGCTAGCTGAGCTGGATGTGACAAACAGCAGTACAGACAGACAATAGTGTCACTGTCGCTCAAAATGACTGCATTCACACACACACACACACACACACACACACACACAGATTGAAGTGAGAGTGCTCTCTGCCTCCTCTATAGTATAGTAAGGCATGATAGAGCCCTCTGCTGGCCAACAGTAGAGTAGCTTTGATGTCCTGCATGAAGAGGGCTTTACGCTTCTGATATCTGAGGAAATTAACCATATTTTCTGAGATTTACCTCGTCTGTCAAGCAACTGTCAAGAAAGTTGCAAATGACTGTAAAAGGACAACTTAACAATTTACAGGAAAGGTAATCAGTGTTCTGGAAAGGAATCAGTGTAAAAACCACCGTTGTGTTCTCTCTCTCTCAAGCTCCACTGTACCCGAGTCAACGTTGAGGGGAGAGATCTCAGGAGAAGTTCAGAACGCCAGCTGGGGTGTAGAAGCCGGTGCAGTCGGTAGAATACCTCTGGGAAATCTGGACGGCATTCAGATCAAACTCCCCAAACTGGTACGACCCAAAGCTCTACATTAAGAACAAAACGAGAGAGTTTGAACAGTACTGTTAATCCGAGTTCTAGGTTGCGTCCCAAATGGCACCCTATTTCCTATATATTGCACCACTTTTGACCAGAAGTAGTGCACTATATAGTGAATAGGGTGCCATTTGGGACCACTGCCAACGGAACACATGGCACTGCCAGAGACTCTCCGGTGACATTCTTATCAGGTTGCTTCACAAACGGCACCCTATTCCCTGCACTACTTTTGACTAGGGCCCATAGGGATCTGGTTAAAAGAAGTGCACTATATAGGGAATAGGCTGCCATTTGGTACGCACACTGTATAATGACAGACGCTACTGCGCTGAAGGCCCAGTTTGTTATATCTAAACACTGGGAGAACCCCCAAGGTGAATCCAGTTCTGATGCGTCTGTATGAAAACACTCTATAGGGTGCCATGCTGATTTATCCTCTATATATACACAGTGCCTTCACAAAGTATTCACACCCCCTTGACTTTTTCCACATTTTGTTGTGTTACAAAGTGGGATTAAAATGGATTTAATTGTATTTTTTTGTCAATGATCTACACAAAATACTCTGTAATGTCAAAATGGAAGAAAAATTCTAACATTTGTAAAAATAAAACGGTATCTTGATTAGATAAGTAATCCACCCCCTGAATCCCTACAGGTTAGAATCACCTTTGGCAGCGATTACAGCTGGGAGTCTTTCTGGGTAATTCACTAAGAGCTTTGCACACCTGGATTGTACAACATTTGCACATTATTATTTTTAAAAGTCTTCAAGCTCTGTCTAGTTTTGCCATAGATTTTCAAGCCGATTTTAGACTAAACAGTAAATAGGCCACTCGGGAACATTCAATGTCATTTGGTAAGCAACTCCTGTGTAGATTTGGCCTTGTGTTTTAGGTTATTGTCCTGCTGAAAAGTATAATAATATAATATGCCATTTAGCAGACGCTTTTATCCAAAGCGACTTACAGTCATGTGTGCATACATTTTTACGTATGGGTGGTCCTGGGGATTGAACCCACTACCCTGGCGTTACAAGCGCCATGCTCTACCAAATGAGCTACAGAGGATTCACAAAGGTGAATCTGAACCAGGTTTCACTCTAGGATTTTGCCTGTGCTTAGCTCTATTCCGTTTCTTTTTATCATTAAAAAAAAACTCCCTAGTCATTGCCGATGACAACCATACCCATAACATGATGCAGCCACCACCATGCTTGAAAATATGAAGAGTGGTACTCAGGGATGTGTTGTGTTGGATTTGCCCCAAACATAACGATTTGTATTCAGGACAAAAAGTTAATTTCTATCCACATTTTTTGCAGTTTTACTTTATTGCCTTGTCGCAAAAACATGCATGTTTTGGAATATTTTTTTATTTTATACAGGTTTCCTTCTTTTCACGCTGTCAACTAGGTTAGTATTGTGGAGTAACTACAAAGTTGATCCATCCTCAGTTTTCTCCTATGTCATTTTTTTTTAGCACAGCCATTAAACTCTGTAACTGTTTTAAAGTCACCATTGGCCTCATGGTGAAATCCCTGAGCAGTTTCCTTCCTCTCCAGCAACTGAGTTAGGAAGGAAGCCTGTATCTTTTTAGTGACTGGGTGTATTGATACACCATCCAAAGTGTAATGAATAACTTCACCATGCTCAAAGAGATATTCAATGTATATCTACCAATAGGTGCCCTTCTTTGCGAGGCATTGGAAAACCTCCCTGGTCTTTGTGGTTGAATCTGTGTTTGAAATTCACTGCTCGACTGAGGGACCTTACAGATAATTGTATGTGTGGGTTACAGAGATGAGGTAGTCATTTAAAAATCATGTAAAACACTATTATTGCAGACAGAGTGAGTCCATGCAACTTATTATGTGACTTGTTTAGCACATTTTTTATCCTGAAGTTAAGGCATGCCATAATAAAGGGGTTGAATACTTTATTGACTCAAGACATTTCAGCGTTTCATTTTTAATTAATTCGTAAACATTTATAAAAACATAATTCCACTTTGACATTATGGGGTATTGTGTGTATACCAGGGTCAAAAAAAATCTCTATTGAATCCATTTTAAATTCAGACTGTACACACAACAAAACATGGAGAAAGTCAACAGGTGTGAATACTTGGTGAAGACGCTGTACTGTACTGATCATTGGACCCAATGAGGAAATGGAGGCTGATTCTCACTAACAACATGCATAACATTCTAAATTCTTAGGTCTAATGAAAAGTCATTGATATTTTCAGGTATGGTTGGTTGGAGGGATCAAATCCAGTGTGTTGGGTTGGCTGGGACTTTAGGGTGTCTGTCAGGAATATATTTCAAGTCCAATCAACACTCTATTCCAGTGTTTCTTAAATCATGGTCCTGGGGATCCAAAGGGTTTGATGATAAGCCGATCAGTGGAATCAGGTGTGTAGTGCTAGGGCAAAAATGTAATTGTGTACCCCGTTGGGTCCCCAAGGGCCAGTTTTTCTAAAGTGATCTGGATTTCGCCTCCCGGATAGGATTTAAAGCATAGAAATGGAATGAACAGTCACCGTGCAAATCAATTATTCAATAGTTCTATTCATTCTAATTCTATGCATTTAATCATATCCCATAGGCTAACTCCAGATAGATAGATCACTTTAGAAAAACTGGGCCCAGGACTAGAGCACTGCTCTATTCAGACAGACCGCACCAGGAATATACTTTTGTAGTTCTAATGTTTCACCACCAGATGGCAGCTGATCCACGTAGAACAGAGCCAGAGGTATTGTTGCTTCACCTACCTGACTGGCTACCATCTTACTGACTGAATGAACTGGCTACCATCTTACTGACTGAATGAACTGGCTACCATCTTACTGACTGAATGAACTGGCTACCATCTTACTGACTGAATGAACTGGCTACCATCTTACTGACTGAATGAACTGGCTACCATCTTACTGACTGAATGAACTGGCTACCATCTTACTGACTGAATGAACTGGCTACCATCTTACTGACTGAATGAACTGGCTACCATCTTACTGACTGAATGAACTGGCTACCATCTTACTGACTGAATGAACTGGCTACCATCTTACTGACTGAATGAACTGGCTACCATCTTACTGACTGAATGAACTGGCTACCATCTTACTGACTGAATGAACTGGCTACCATCTTACTGACTGAATGAACTGGCTACCATCTTACTGACTGAATGAACTGGCTCCCATTACTGGAATGACTGGGAATTACTGAATGAACTGGCTACCATCTTACTGACTGAATGAACTGGCTACCATCTTACTGACTGAATGAACTGGCTACCATCTTACTGACTGAATGAACTGGCTACCATCTTGCTGACTGAATGAACTGGCTACCATCTTACTGACTGAATGAACTGGCTACCATCTTACTGACTGAATGAACTGGCTACCATCTTACTGACTGAATGAACTGGCTACCATCTTACTGACTGAATGAGTGTGCTAAATAAATCTCAGTGAGTGAGTGAGTGTGCTAAATCTTACTGTATTATGTAAACCCGGAAGGCTTAATGTTTTCCTGGAATGTTCCTATTCCTTCTGTGAATAATAGTTCCACACAAAATATTATGGGTGTAACTAACTAAAATAGCCAAGAGTAAAGATAACCAACAAAAATATACTGTTGCTCAATATAGGAGAGAAATGATCTCCTATGAGACAGACCTAAGGTTGTATTGTTGTACAGACAATAGACTCAGGTGAAGGCACCACCAGGATGTTTATTTGTTTGGTGTGTTTGACCTCTTACCTTTAATATGTTCCTGGCATCGAAGGCCTCCCGCTCCTTCATGTTTTGCCTTCCTCCTGTGGCTTCGGCTAGAAAACACAAAAAGCACTGTGGGTAAACCCTGAGCACCGTGGGTAAACCCTGAGCACCGTGGGTAAACCCTGAGCACCGTGGGTAAACCCTGAGCACCGTGGGTAAACCCTGAGCACCGTGGGTAAACCCTGAGCACCGTGGGTAAACCCTGAGCACCATGGGTAAACCCTGAGCACCGTGGGTAAACTCTGAGCACTGTGGGTAAACCCTGAGCACCGTGGGTAAACCCTGAGCACCGTGGGTAAACCCTGAGCACCATGGGTAAACCCTGAGCACCGTGGGTAAACCCTGAGCACCGTGGGTAAACCCTGAGCACTGTGGGTAAACCCTGAGCACCGTGGGTAAACCCTGAGCACCGTGGGTAAACCCTGAGCACCATGGGTAAACCCTGAGCACCATGGGTAAACCCTGAGCACTGTGGGTAAACCCTGAGCACCGTGGGTAAACCCTGAGCACCATGGGTAAACCCTGAGCACCGTGGGTAAACCCTGAGCACCGTGGGTAAACCCTGAGCACCGTGGGTGCACCGTGGGTAAACCCTGAGCACAGTGGGTAAACCCTGAGCACCGTGGGTAAACCCTGAGCACCGTGGGTAAACCCTGAGCACCGTGGGTAAACCCTGAGCACCGTGGGTAAACCCTGAGCACTGTGGGTAAACTCTGATACTGAGAGCGTTGTCGTTTCTAAAAGGATGTATTTGGGTGTTTTTGGAGCCTGTGTTCATGTTTTATCTGTGCCTCTGCAGAACGAGCAGCAGGAAGTTCATCACTGGTGGGGTCTGGTTCTCAAAACCCAGTGGACACCTATAACATGTCATTTACATCCTAAATACACATTTGATTAACAAAAAGGTAAACTTGTCCTTTGACCCTAATGCACAAAACACTTATCTATTGTAATAGGTGGACAACCCTATTTATATAGTGGAGTTCACCCTCAACCACACTGCTTATTACAACACACTGTTCAAACCAGGTGGATCTCACTATGAACTGTACTGGGAGATATGATTCTAAATGAGCCTCTCTCTGAAAAACACTAAATAAATGACAGCCTCACCACCACCACCTTTATTTGTCAATGACCCTGTCTAAATCTAATAGCTGTGATTCTACCATAATGCTGACCATTCATCTGGTATGCAGCAGTGACGTAACTAAAAGACTGCATTCTGAGCAATTCCACTAGTCAACAACAAGAGCAGAACCAACAGCAGCCTTCCCTCACTCTCTCTTTGGCCACAGCTCTGTTTGTGTGCAACAGGGCAGAGTGTTTTTCCAACAGCAGTGACAAGGGGTTTCATTCAGTTGGCCGTGGATCAAATCCAGCCCTAGTTCTTTCAAGCATGAGTTTACACAGGGCTGGCCAGAGACAGGCCAACAACACAAGGCTGGCCAGCTGAGAGACTGGCCAACAACACAGGACAAAGGGAGGGGTCTGGCCAACAACACAGGACAAAGGGAGGGGTCTGGCCAACAACACAGGACAAAGGGAGGGGTCGGTCCAACAACACAGGACAAAGGGAGGGGTCTGGTCCAACAACACAGGACAAAGGGAGGGGTCGGTCCAACAACACAGGACAAAGGGAGGAGTCTGGCCAACAACACAGGACAAAGGGAGAATTGGCCAACAACACAGGAAAAAGGGAGGGGTCGGTCCAACAACACAGGACAAAGGGAGGAGTCTGGCCAACAACACAGGACAAAGGGAGAATTGGCCAACAACACAGGACAAAGGGAGGGGTCTGGCCAACAACACAGGACAAAGGGAGGGGTCTGGCCAACAACACAGGACAAAGGGAGATCTGGCCAACAACACAGGACAAAGGGAGATCTGGCCAACAACACAGGACAAAGGGAGAATTGGCCAACAACACAGGACAAAGGGAGAATTGGCCAACAACACAGGACAAAGGGAGGGGTCTGTCCAACAACACGAAAAAGGGAGGGTCGGTCCACAACACAGAGCCAAAGGAGAATTGGCCACAACACAGACAAAGGGAGAATTGGCCAACAACACAGGACAAAGGGGGGTCGGTCCAAAACACAGGACAAAGGGAGGGGTCTGGCCAACAACACAGGACAAAGGGAGGAGTCTGGCCAACAACACAGGATAAAGAGAGGGGTCGGTCCAAGAGCGTCCACTAAAACTCTGTACCACTTTAGGAACAGAGACTGTTCAAATCTAGGGAATGCTATTGTTTGTTGTTGTTGTTGTCGCTACATCCGTGTTGTTGACATGGGGGTAGTGTGTTTCACTAATGCCTTTATGCTGACTGACTCCGTGTCCAGTGACTGACTTAAAGCCCATCTTTATGCTGACTGACTCCGTGTCCAGTGACTCTGACTTAAAGCCCATCTTTATGCTGACTGACTCCGTGTCCAGTGACTCTGACTTAAAGCCCATCTTTATGCTGACTGACTCCGTGTCCAGTGACTCTGACTTAAAGCCCATCTTTATGCTGACTGACTCCGTGTCCAGTGACTGACTTAAAGCCCATCTTTATGCTGACTGACTCCGTGTCCAGTGACTGACTTAAAGCCCATCTTTATGCTGACTGACTCCGTGTCCAGTGACTCTGACTTAAATTATTAGGAGGTTACTATGGGTCAGTTCAGACAGTGGAAAGCCTGCTTTAAGAGAACAGTGACACTTATTTTGCTTTTTTTTTTCAAGTATGTGCGTGTACTCTGGTAATTGTCCTTGTTTTCAGGCTGAAGCTCCAATACACATAGGTGAACACACATCAGTGATGGCCATAGACAAAACCACCTTCTTCTTCCTACCTGAAGCAACCTTCCTGAACAGAGTGTTCATGACTGTGCCGTGCAGTTTCACTCTGTCCCATTCTCTGACCATCAGCCCTGAGGAAACAAAGTGGTCCACCAGCCGCTCCACAATGGCCTGCAGCCTGCACAACAGACAGTCAACACAAGAGTTAGTTGTTCTTACCTGGGAGCAACACTCTCACACTATTGACATACTAATGATCATCATCATTTGAATGTACTAATTGTAAATCGCTCAATCTGTCATTAAAAAAAAAGGTAAACTGTAAATATAATAATAATAATAATACTACACAGTATTTATATAACGCTTTTCAAGGAGACAGAGTCACTTTACTGTGGTCCAAACTGTGGTAAAAGAAAGGAAAACAAGGGGATCCAACCCTCAAGAGAAGTAACCAAACTCTTACTTATCCGAGCCGTCTTTCACGTGGACCTTGGCGTACAGGACATCCACCATCGCTGGGTCATCGTTCATGTACTCAATCCCTGTCACCTCCAGCGGGAGAGGCTTCCCTTCTGTGATGGTCCTGAAACATAACATCACAGAACATAATGTGTGTTACATGACAGAACATAACATGACACAACATGACATAACATGATGTGTGTTACATGACATACATAACATGACATAACATGACATAATGTGTGTTTCTGGCTCCAAGTCTTTATACAATCCCTACAATTATCCAGGGTCATATTCATTCAGAAACGCGACAGAAAACGATTTAAAACGGAAAAAACGAAAATGAGCATTTCTTATTGGATGTCTAGATAGGGATAGTCCCTCCCTGTTTCAGTCCGTTTTCTCCTGTTTGATTCCTAATGAACATGACCCAGTTGTCAGTCAGATACCTACTTGATAAAATCCTCACAGTGCTGGAGTTGGTCACATGCTCTGGTCACTTCCAGGTCGTTCAGCAGAGCCAGGGTGCCGACTGTTAGATGGAGTTTAGCAGGGTTCTGGAAGATGCTTCCATCTACTCCGTGGTCCTTAACAAGAGAGGAGAGGAGAGAGACCTGAGATTTTGATTTGTATTTATTATGGATCCCCATTAGTTCCAGCCAAGGCAGCAGCTACTCTTCCTGGGGTCCAGCAAAATGAAGGCAGTTATACATTTAAAAAAAACATTACAATACATTCATAACAGATTTCACAACATATTAAGTGTGTTCCCTCAGGCCTCTACTCTACTACCACATATCTATAACATATAATCCATGTGTATAGTGTGTATAGTGTGTGTAGTGTGTGTAGTGTGTGTAGTGTGTATGTTATCGTGTGTTTGTAGGCATGTGTCTATGTTTGTGTTGCTTCACAGTCCCCGCTGTTCCATAAGGTGTATTTGAACTGACCGCACAGAGAAATGCTGCAGGGTGAAGTTGCCCCTAGACACTGATCTTAGGTCCGTTTTGCGCACACGCACACGCACACACGCACACGCACTCGCACGCGCACACGCACACGCACACACACGCACACGCACACGCACACGCACACACACACACACACACACACTCACACACACACTCTTCCTTACCTGAGAACACTGCTCCAACACCTCCTCTTTAAACCTCAGGAATCCGTCCTGAACTTGAGGGTGGTTCAGAGCGAACGACAGGAAGTGGGTGAACGGTTGCTTCCTGCGAAAGCTCTCCACCAGGAGCTCGACACGAGTCACGGCAGAGGACACCGCGGCCTTCTGGGAGCCAGTGATCACTAGCACAATGTGAGACCGTTATTGTGTGATTGTAATGTGAGACTTTTATTTTGATATCCCATTATTCTAGCCCTTGGGAGAAGAGGTTCATGGATAATGCTTCAGTCTTGAGTTTGGAGTGGTTGCAGGACACACGTTCTTGGCTCACTTTTATCACTAAACTCATTAATATGAGTTGACTGCTGACAGCAAATCACTGAAACCACCAGAGGTAGAGAAAGGAGAGTTTTGCTAGACTGGTCCCAGATCTGTTTGTGCTTGCATAGCCAACTCCAATAGTCATTGTCTTGTTATTCTGACCATAGGAGTTGGTGAGACAGGACAAACAGTCACAATATGGGACCAGGCTACAGTGTTGCACCATTATCTGTACTATGGACCTCTGGTTTGGGCTGGTCTCCTAGCTCTGGTCCAGGGCGTTACATTCGGCTTGAGCCTTCTTCAAGAAGGCTGAATAAGGCTCAAGCCCTGGACCAGAGCTACTGGTCTCTCCGCTAATAAAAAGGCCACTCACCGATCTGCCCTTCCACTCCTTGTTTTGGAATGTTGATGGATGTCTTTGTGTCCGACTCTAGCCTTCTACGGGTCTCTCCTTTCCTTCCGATGATGTATCTGTTAACAACAACACACTTCTCTGGTTAGTACACCTTGGGTCTTAGCCTTGGTTTCAGTTGAAGATGTACACATAGGGCTACTGACCATAATAACACACACACACACACACACCTAATACATCAGAATGTTACCATGGTTACCCCATGGATATTCAGTCTGAAAGAAGTCTCTAGAAGCCAGAATGTTGAATACGATGATATGTAAATGTCTTTTACCGGTTGTCTGTGCTGTTGGTCCTTTTGACGATAGGAAGTGGAGATAGAATTTCCACAGGAAAGTATTATTAACCCAACTGTTTGGGCCGCTGGTCTGTATGGCTCTGTCAGCTTGTATTCCTGGTACACTGCATGGCCAAACGTATGTGGACACCTGCTCGTCGAACATCGCATTCCAAAATCATGGGCATTAATATAGAGTTGGTCCCCCCCTTTGCTGCTATAACAGCCTCCACTCTTCTGGGAAGGCTTTCCACTAGATGTTGGAACATTGCTGCGGGGACTTGCTTTCATTCAGCCACAAGAGCATTAGTGAGGTCGGGTACTGATGATGGGTGATTAGGCCTGGCTCACAGTCGGCCTTCCAATTCATCCTAAAGGTGTTCAATGGGGTTGAGGTCAGGGCTCTGTACAGGCCAGTCAAGTTCTTACACACCGATGTCGACAAACCATTTCTGTATGGACCTCGCTTTGTGCACTTTGGCACTGTCATGCTGAAACAGGAAAGGGCCATCCCCAAACTGTTGCCACAAAGTTGGAAGCACAGAATCGTCTAGAATGTCATTGTATGCTGTAGCGTTAAGATTTCCCTTCACTGGAACCAAGGGGCCTAGCCCGAACCATGAAAAACAGCCCCAGACCATTATTCCTCCTCCTCCACCAAACTTTACAGTTGGCACTATGCATTCGGGCAGGTAGCGTTCTCCTGGCTTTCGCCAAACCCTGATTAGTCCATCGGACTGCCAGATGGTGAAGCGTGATTCCTCACTCCAGAGAACGCATTTCCACTTCTCCAGAGTCCAATGGCGGCGAGTTTTACACCACTCCAGCCGCCGCTTGGCATTGCGCATGTTTGATCTTAGGCTTGCTCGGCCATGGGAACCCGTTTCATGAAGCTCCCGACGAACAGTTCTTGTGCTGACGTTGCTTCCAGAGTCAGTTTGGAACTAGTGAGTGTTGCAACCGAGGACAGACGATTTTTACGCAATACGCACCTCAGTGGTCCCGTTCTGTGAGCTTGTGTGGCCTACCACTTCGCAGCTGAGCCGTTGTTGCTCCTAGATGTTTCCACTTCACAATAACAGCACTTACAGTTGACCAGGGCAGCTCTAGCAGGGCAGTAATTTGATGAACTGACTTGTTGAAAAGGTGGCATCCTATGATGGTGCCACGTTGAAAGTCACTGAGCTCTTCAGTACGGGCCATTCTACTGCCAATGTTTGTCTATGGAGATTGCATGGCGGTGTGCTCAATTATATACACCTGTCAGCAACGGGTGTGGCTGAAATAGCCGAATCCACTAATTTGAAGGGATGTCCACATACTGTTGTAGATATAGTGTATGTGAAATGAGCCCGGGCAAAGTGTGTATGTATTTTCAATCTCCTGACGCATTGCACGTAGCCGAACATACCCAAACATTGTCAACCGAACCACATTTCCTCGCAATCAGCTGGAAGTGCTTGCCTCTTACGACAACAACAACAAAACATCGGCAACGTTCGGTCTGTGGTTCGGATACGCTTGGCCATTGTTTACATATTGTGCAAAGTGTTTACGTTGCATGCGAATTGAGTCAGTATCGAAACTACAAACCGACAGAACCATATACAGACCAGCGTACTGAAAGTCAGGCTAAAAAACACTTCCACGTGGACAACAGGTAAAGTAAGTCCAAATGAAGCTTATTCAACATTCTGACCTGTAATGGGACAGTTCGGAGACGAGAGAGTAAGTCTTCCACTCTCGGATTCTAAAATGGGACTAACACCTCATAACGCAGTCATCGACTCATGAAGTCAGTCCCAAATGGCACGCTATTCCCATAGGGCTCTGGTCAAAAGTAGTGCACTATATAGTGAATAGGGGTACCATTTAGGACGCATGGCCTACATGGTGTTAGTAACTCACTTGTAAAGAACACTTGGGACATCAATGGCACAGCGGAAACCTTTGTCAGTCTGTTCTATGGCGTGGCTGTCACAGAACTCTTGTTCTTCCTCAAACTGTTCACTTGCTAATCGAAACAACAAAATGTATTTGTGAGATTGGCAAGAAGATTTTGGCATTCCATTGTAGGTGCAGGGACAAATGAGATAGGAGATGGCTACATTTAGAGGAGACAAGCATCCCCACAACACATTGTGGTGGTCAATTGGTCAGCTATAGCTATCTAGGTCTCAGTAGAATAAAGTCAATGATCTGGTAGTACAGTATTGTAGCTATCTTTCTTATCTAGCTAGCTAGCTATAGTTAGCTGGGGTTGTAAGGAGCTAGCACCACTGAGGTATAATGGCTAGCACTGAGGACCTAGCTACCTGGTGGTCCCACGTAGGAAGAGTCCTCCTCTTCCGCCTCTTCATACTGGTCTTCTTTGATGGTATTTCTTCTGTATATTCTTCCACTTATGTTGATCAATGATGGACGTAAGATTTCCATTGTAGCAGTTACCTTGAATAGTAAATAAAACGATATCAACTGTAGTGAATAGTAGCTGTCAGCTACGTGTAGGCGCTTAGGCTGTTTTGCGACATACGGCAGTTTGAAGTAAAGTGACCAGCTGATTCCGTAGTCGCTGATCTCTAAACAGCAGGGATAGACAATCAACAAGTTAATGATGCGCCAATATCAACATTTTATTTATATATCGCCTAAACCGTAAAGCGGGGTTATTGTTGGGATAGCTAACCAGAAACAGAAACAAAAAGTGAGCCTGCTGTCCTCTCCATCACCAGTGGTAGGTTTAGCACTTCAATAAGAATCTTATGTCTGATTTATTATGCGGAAAGTTTGCATTAGTATTAAATGCGCTATGCTTCATGTAGCTAGCTACCTTTGTCAGTTTATAATACATAACGTTGTTAGCCTTGTGTTGTTAGCCAACGTTAGCTAGCTAGCCATGCTAATGTATTGCTAAAGATTTGTATAACTTGTTCTATCTGTGCTAATGCTGCACAGCAAGCTAAATTTAATTTGAAGAAATATTGCTACTCATTTGGGACTGTATTTATCCGCAATACACGACTCTGAACTTGGTGATCATTGATTTGTCGTTGTGTTCCTCTTCCTCAGTTGGAATGGCAGCCTCCTCCTCATCCTCCTCTGCCGGAGGGGTTAGTGGGAGCTCCGTGACTGGCTCTGGATTCAGCGCTTCAGAACTCATCCCCCCGCGTAAGGTCCTCTACACTTATCCCAAAGGAGCCGGGGAGATGATGGAAGGTAGGCTTTTATATTGGTTCAGAACGTTGCAAGAGACAGAACGTTGATGAGGATTCTTTGGAATTGTAGAAAACCTTGTCTGTTCTGTACATTCTACCTGCAACATTCTGAACGTGTTCTTGGCTCTGATTACAATAGTATTCTGCTCATATCCCATACACAGTGATGCTGTGTGTTTCAGCTAGATTCATGCTTCTGTCTGTCTGGTTAGCTAATGTACATGTATGTGGTTCTTTAATACAAGCCCCTTCTGTACGTCTGCCTAGCCACACTTCTCTTACAACTATTCTATCTGGCTTCAAGTCAAGTGTAGCTTGTCCCAATTTTACCCAGAAGATAAACAATGTGTCCCTGGAACTTTTTCACTGTTCCCTTAAAAACCTAGCTACCATGCGTCATAGTTGGATCTTCCTCCAGGAGGACGTGCGCTTCTAACAACGACAGGCAATGCTCTGCCCCAACAAGCATTGCCAGTGTGCCCCACTCAATCTGGCTTCAAGTCAAATGTAGTTAGTGATCCTTTGAATCATAGTTGGATCTTCATCCAACAGGACGTGCGTGGGTACCAGCGAGTAGTCAGTGCTCTGCCAAGGGGTCAGCCCACAACACCCAGCACCAGTTTGTCACACACAAGAGGATCTGTTTGTTTGAACCCAAAGGGCCATCTGGCTCCTTGCCCCTGCTTTGTGCGTACCAAATGACACCCTATTCCCTGCGTTGTGCACTACTTTTGACCAGAGCCTTATGGGCCAAAGTAGTACGCTATGTTGGGATAGGGTGCCCCTCCTTTGTTACCTCATAGACCCCAAATCAAACACGCTGTACTAATTAATGTGTTAGTTTGGATCGTTGTGCTGGAAAGCACTGGGTGTTCCGAGGTCTAAGTGGGACAGCAGTGAAGCTGGTGGCCAGGGTTGGGGTTCTACTCCTCTTTGTTTTTGGGGTCCCTTGTCCCTAATGGCACCCCTGTTCCCTACACCAGGGATCGTCAACTAGATTTCAGACGGGGGACGATTTTTGTTTTTACTTGAGTGGAAGGTCGGGGGGGGGCCTGAATATAATTACAAATCATTTGTAAGACTGCAAATTGACCGCAAGAAGCCCAAACAGATATAATATTTGACTAAAACATTTCAAACCTTGCTTACATTTATACTGTATATGATCAGATGTGTCTCTAATTTATGCATAAGAATACTTTAACAGAACAAAATTCACCTGCAGCTGATTTCCTGGTGTTTTTAGTCTTTTGGCCATCAATGAAAATTCACCAAATAATAAAATCACCTGCGGGCCAAATTTGGTCCGTGGGCCGCCAGTTGGAGAACCTAGCCCCACATAGGGCCCTGATATCATATGGCCATGGTCAACAGTATTGCCCTATCTAGGGAATAGGGTGCCATTTTGTGTTCTAGTTGATTATCTGGGGTAGTCTTTGTTTCCAGTTTTAACTTTTCAATCATAGAAACTGAATGGTGGCACATGTTGGCATTATGTCAGGAGTTAAATCATGTTTTAGCTAACTCCTGTACTTACTCAGTAATTACGCCCGGCGGATTAGGTATTAAATAGTCGGTACCACAATACATTATATAATAGATCTATAGCCTAATAGTTTATAGATCGTGTGTGAGTAAAAAGACACATTTCTGTTCTTCTTCTTTAGCCTATTTAAGGGCTAACTTGTGTTGACTACTACTACAGCATTTTGTAAATGTGATAGTTCATGAAAGCGTAACAGTAGTTGATGTGATATTGAACATGGACTCTGTGTCTTCAGATGGCTCAGACAGATTTCTGTGTGAGTCTGTATTCAGCTACCAGGTGGCATCAACACTGAAACAGGTGAAGCATGGTAAGTCCATCTCTCTTAATTCAATTATTTTATTGCAATTGTCTTTTGAAAAATACCTACGGCTGTGTGTCCCAAATAGCACCCTATTCCCTATATATAGTGAACTACATTCGACCAGCGCCCTATGGGCCTGGTCAAAAGTAGTCCACTGTATAGGGAATAGGGTGCTATTTGGGATGCATTTGTTGTTTAGGGAAAGGTACTCTGGTAAGGGATACAAAATACGCAATACTTGATATAACAGCATATTTCACTGATTTTGTTTTTAGATCAACAGGTATCTAGAATGGAGAAACTGGCCAGTTTGGTTGAAGAGCTGGAAGCAGATGAGTGGCGTTACAAACCAATCGAACAGCTTTTGGGATTTACTCCGTCTTAACGTTTAAATAAAGACCTGCTCAGTAGCCACTAGCTAGTTACCACTGGAGGAACGTAGTGGCTGCAGAAGACTACTTTATTTCCAACACATTTGTTTATTGTCATTTATTTGTCATTCTCACAGGGAAGGATGTTCCTGCCTGGCATTCTCTGTTACATTAGAAATTGGCCAATGTTTAGCTCTGGTCCAGGTCGTGGTTAGTGCTAGCACTGGACCAGAGCTGGCCAATGTTTAGCTCTGGTCCAGGTCGTGGTTAGTGCTGGCACTGGACCAGAGCTAGCCAATGTTTAGCTCTGGTCCAGGTCGTGGTTAGTGCTGGCACTGGACCAGAGCTAGCCAATGTTGTGACCTAAAAACCTTTATCACAGCTATTCATTATTCATTGAGTAATTAATCATGCCATAGTGGGAAAATTAATGATTTTAAGATGGAATCATCTTTGTATGTATTAAAATGAAAGCATGACGTACTTACTTTGTACTTGGGTTACCATTTATTAAATATTTAAATTAAAATATACATAATCATTTGTATTGAAGTTATTTACCATTTATAGCCTGTAATGCAATTATTGCAATGGATTATTTATCACCCAGTTGAAAACAATAGAACCAGGCTAATTGTATTACTCCACTGTAAATACCACGGTCAATGGGAATCCAGGGCGACCCAGTAACATCCTGCAGCAACAGCCAAGGGTTGATATTCCACACACACTCTATAGTGTGACCAGGCTGATGTTCTGAATGACAGCACTAGGATATCAATGTGTCTATGCCCTCACAGCTGCTCTCAATAAGCACACACACACACACACACACACACACTAACACACACACACATACACACATATACACACACACACACACACACACACACAATAACATCAGTCAGTCAGTCAGTCACCAAAAGACAGGGGAAAGAACAAATAGGTTTTGTTAATTAAAATCACCACCATTCTTGGGTCAGTGGCTATCTACACTACCGGGGCTGTAGATGTTCTGTCTACACTACCGGGGCTGTAGATGTTCTGTCTAGACTACCGGGGCTGTAGATGTTCTGTCTACACTACCGGGGCTGTAGATGTTCTGTCTACACTACCGGGGCTGTAGATGTTCTGTCTACACTACCAGGCTGTAGATGTTCTGTCTACACTACCGGGGCTGTAGATGTTCTGTCTAGACTACCGGGGCTGTAGATGTTCTGTCTACACTACCGGGGCTGTAGATGTTCTGTCTAGACTACCGGGGCTGTAGATGTTCTGTCTAGACTACCGGGGCTGTAGATGTTCTGTCTAGACTACCGGGGCTGTAGATGTTCTGTCTACACTACCGGGGATGTAGATGTTCTGTCTACACTACCGGGGATGTAGATGTTCTGTCTACACTACCGGGGCTGTAGATTTTCTGTCTACACTACCGGGGCTGTAGATGTTCTGTCTAGACTACCGGGGCTGTAGATGTTCTGTCTACACTACCGGGGCTGTAGATGTTCTGTCTACACTACCGGGGCTGTAGATGTTCTGTCTAGACTACCGGGGCTGTAGATGTTCTGTCTACACTACCGGGGCTGTAGATGTTCTGTCTACATTACCGGGGCTGTAGATGTTCTGTCTACAGTCGTGGTCAAAAGTTTTGAGAATAACACAAATATAAATTTTCACAAAGTCTGCTGCCTCAGTTTTGATGATGGCAATTTGCATATACTCCAGAATGTCATGAAGAGTGATCAGATGAATTGCAATTAATTGCAAAGTCCCTCTTTGCCATGAAAATGAACTTAATCCCAAAAAAACATTTCCACTGCATTTCAGCCCTGCCACAAAAGGACCAGCTGCCATCATGTCAGTGGTTCTCTCGTTAACACAGGTGAGACTGTTGACGAGGACAAGGCTGTAGATCACTCTGTCATGCTGATTGAGTTAGAAAAGCAGACTGGAAGCTTTAAAAGGAGGAAACACGTGCTGTCATCATTGCTTTGCACAAAAAGGGCTTCACAGGCAACGATATTTCTGCTAGTAAGATTGTGGTCCTCTGTAGCTCAGCTGGTAGAGCACGGCGCTTGTAACGCCAAGGTAGTGGGTTCGATCCCCGGGACCACCCATACACAAAAATGTATGCACGCATGACTGTAAGTCGCTTTTGATAAAAGCGTCTGCTAAATGGCATATTATTATTATTATTGCACCTAAATCAACCATTTATCGGATCATCAAGAACTTCAAGGAGAGAGGTTCAATTGTTGTGTAGAAGGCGTCAGGGCGCCCAAGAAAGTCCAGCAAGCGCCAGGACCGTCTCCTAAAGTTGATTCAGCTGTGGGATCGGGGCACCACCAGTGCAGAGCTTGCTCAGGAATGGCAGCAGGCAGGTGTGAGTGCATCTGCACGCACAGTGAGGCAAAGACTTTTGGAGGATGGCCTGGTGTCAAGAAGGTCAGCAAAGAAGCCACTTCTCTCCAGGAAAAACATCAGGGACAGACTGATATTCTGCAAAAGGTACAGGGATTGGACCGCTGAGGACTGGGGTAAAGTCATTTTCTCTGATGAATCCCCTTTCCGATTGTTTGGGGCATCCGGAAAACACCTTGTCCGGAGAAAACAAGGTGAGCGCTACCATCAGTCCTGTGTCATGCCAACAGTAAAGCATCCTGAGACCATTCATGTGTGGGGTTGCTTCTCAGCCAAGGGAGTGGGCTCACTCACAATTTTGCCTAAGAACACAGCCATGAATAAAGAATGGTACCAACACATCCTCCGAGAGCAACTTCTCTCAACCATCCAAGAACAGTTTGGTGACGACCAATGCCTTTTCCAGCATGATGGAGCACCTTGCCATAAGGCAAAGGTGATAACTAAGTGGCTCGGGGAACAAAACATCAACATTTTGGGTCCATGGCCAGGAAACTCCCCAGACCTTAATCCCATTGAGAACTTGTGGTTGATCCTCAAGAGGCGGGTGGACAAACAAAAACCCACAAATTCTAACAAACTCCAAGCATTGAATATGCAAGAATGGGCTGCCATCAGTCAGGATGTGGCCCAGAAGTTAATTGACAGCATGCCAGGGCGGATTGCAGAGGTCTTGAAAAAGAAGGGTCAACACTGGAAATATTGACTCTTTGCATAAACTTCATGTAATTGTCAATAAAAGCCTTTGACACTTATGGAATGCTTGTAATTATACTTCAGTATACCATAGTAACAGCTGACAAAAATATCTCATAACACTGAAGCAGCGAACTTTGTGAAGACCAATACTTGTGTCATTCTCAAAACTTTTGACCACGACTGTAGATTACCAGGGGGTAGATGTTCTGTCTACATTACCAGGGGGTAGATGTTCTGTCTACATTACCAGGGGTGTAGATGTTCTGTCTACATTACCAGGGGGGTAGATGTTCTGTCTACATTACCAGGGGGGTAGATGTTCTGTCTAAACTACCATGGCTGTAGTTGTTCTGTCTACATTACCAGGGGGTAGATGTTCTGTCTACATTACCAGGGGTGTAGATGTTCTGTTACATTACCAGGGGGGTAGTGTTCTGTCTGGGGTAATTTCTACATTACCAGGGGGTAGATGTTCTGTCTACATTACCAGGGGGTAGATGTTCTGTCTAAACTACCATGGCTGTAGTTGTTCTGTCTACATTACCAGGGGTGTAGATGTTCTGTCTACATTACCAGGGGGGTAGATGTTCTGTCTAAACTACCATGGCTGTAGTTGTTCTGTCTACATTACCAGGGGTGTAGATGTTCTGTCTACATTACCAGGGGGTAGATGTTCTGTCTAACTACCAGGGCTGTAGTTGTTCTGTCTACATTACCAGGGGGGTAGATGTTCTGTCTACATTACCAGGGGGTAGATGTTCTGTCTACATTACCAGGGGGGTAGATGTTCTGTCTACATTACCAGGGGTGTAGATGTTCTGTCTACATTACCAGGGGGGTAGATGTTCTGTCTACATACCAGGGGTGTAGATGTTCTGTCAACTACCATGGCTGTATGTTTGTCTAATTACCAGGGTAAGATTGTTCTGTCTACATTACCAGGGCAGATGTTCCTGTCACATTTACCAGGGGTAGATGTTCTGTCTATAACTCCAGGACTGTATTGTTTAGGTCGGGTCAGTACAGTCCAGGGAGGTTTGTTACAGGTCTGTCGTACATTCCAGGGGTGGTTAGATTTCTGTCTCAAACTACCAGGGTATTGTTCTGTTACAGTCCAGGGACGATATATGGTCTGGTCTACATCCAGGGACGACTAGTTACCAGGTCGGGTCTACATCCATGGCAGCTTTGTACGGGTTCTGGTCTACATACCAGGGACTGTAGTTTAGGGTCTGTCTACAGTCCAGGGGGATATTGTTACATACCAGGGTGGTCAGTTACAGTCCAAAGACTATGTTTCAGGGATCTGGTCTACATCCAGGGGTAGATTGTTGTCTGTCGTACAGTCCAGGGAGGTAGTGTTCAGGTCTGTAATACATCCATGGCGTATTGTTTCCAGCTCGGCAGCCTCTTTACATCCAGGCAGACTATTTTACAGGGATTGTATAAGTCAGGGACAGATATTGTTTTACTAGATGGCTTGTGTGCTGGCACTATTGTTTTACAGTTCTGCTCTTGTCGAGTCCAAGGACAGACTATTGTTTACCAGGGATCTGGTCTGTACAGTCCAGGGACAGACTATTGTTTACCAGGGATCTGGTCTGTACAGTCCAGGGACAGACTATTGTTTACCAGGGATCTGGTCTGTACAGTCCAGGGACAGACTATTGTTTACCAGGGATCTGGTCTGTACAGTCCAGGGACAGACTATTGTTTACCAGGGGTCTTGTAAGTACAGTCCAGGGACAGACTATTGTTTACCAGGGATCTGGTCTGTACAGTCCAGGGACAGACACTTGTTTACCAGGGATCTGGTCAGTACAGTCCAGGGACAGACTATTGTTTACTAGGGGTCTGATCAGAAGGGTACAACGTTACAGGATATTCAGATAGAAAGGTATTGTCGAACATATATGTTGTCTGTATTGTCCAGTAGAATAGAGAATCTTAAAATGTCAGCTCTATTCTAATGGCGTTTCTATCTGCAATGTTCCTCCACAATGTTTGCCTACTGAGCGTGGCCCTGGCAGAGATCCAGTCTCTTTGACCCTGGTCTTTTTTAATCTAAAGTCAGGAAATGTGCGGTACTTTGTGACTCCACCAATGAATGAATGTT